CCCCGTCAGTTGTATTCTCCTGTACGTGTGCCCCGTGGACAAGAACCCTAACTCTGTGAGGTGCCCGTGGGGACTTGCAGTGGGTGATGACGTGAGGTCCTGGACTTGCTCTGAGGCTGGCAATTGACGTGACGACCATTTAATTTTTTTTGTTACACAAAGCCAGACGCTATGTTGAGAAGACAGTGTCTATCGCAGAACAGCCACAGCAAAGATAAAGCTGAAATTATCAAGTTCAATACTTCCAAGATGGAACCATTGTCAGTTTCTTCAGTAGTTTTGCTTAGGAATACGGAAAATCTCAGCTCGTATGAACGGTTGTGACTGTACCAGATTCCGGACAAAAATATGTCTTTATTGCTGACATCGTTTCGATCATTTGTTGTCACAAAGCCAGACGCTATGTTGAGAAGTCCGTGTCTATCGCAGAACGGCCACAGCAAAATAAACCGTAAATTAGTTCAATACCTCCAAAATATTTAAATTATAACTAATGTCAGTATCTGCAGAAGTTTTGCGTTACGAAAAATCTCAGCTCGTATGAACGGTTGCGACTGGGCCAGATTCCGGACAAAAAAATCTGTCGTTATGATACCGGCGTGAGACATGTCTGGGGCCGGCTGGCGACGTTCTTCTTAATACTTTCTCGTTGGTGACCTTGTCTGTCCATCTGATCCTCAGCAACTTTCTTAGACACTTGTTCAAGGAAACCTGCATCCTCTTTATGAAAGTCACTCATACTCATACCCTAGTCTTTTTTTTTTCTTCTGCAATCAACGTACTACGTCACAAAAGAGTGAAAGGCAGCCTGAACCAGTGTGAGAAATCGTCCAGTGAGGTGAGGCTAGTTGTCGTGTCACGTAATGTCGTCTGTCGTCCTCGCCCCACTCACCCCAGACGAACTGTCTAGCTACAGTTCAGTGAACAGGTTAAGCGCCACTATCATATCAACATTCGCGGCTTGTTTCAGAGGCAGGACATCCGAATGTAGCAGTATCTCTAGTTACCCTCTCCCAGAAGACTCACAGAGTTTTGGAAAGGGATGTTGGAGGAGGG